TTGGGGGCTAAGCACCCCTAAAGGTCAGATTCTAGAATGGCCCCTGGCAGACACCATGTTTAATTATATTAAGTCAAATGTCTATAAAGGTAGATACTGTATCTTATCCAACCAATAAGCCATAAACCTAACCTTACCACAATGTAAATAAAAAAGTATGTTCAGGAAGCTCTGAAAAGAAGAAAGAGGGGAAGGCTGTGGGACCTGATGACATACGAGTGGAGGTTTGGAAATGTCTTGGAGAGATGGTAGTGAAGTTTTTGACTCAAATATTCAACGGCATATTTGAGGGTGAATAAACGCCTGAGGAATGGAGAAGAAGTGTGCTGGTGCCCATTTTTAAGACCAAGGGTGATGTACAGAGTTGTAGCAACTACAGGGAATTAAGTTGATGAGTCACAAGTTAAAGATCTGGGAGAGAAATTTGGATGCAAGACTTAAACAAGAGCAGCAGTATTGTTTTATGCTGAGAAAAAAACACCACAGATGAAATCTTTATTTTGAAGATGCTGATGGAGGAGTACAGAGGGGGTCAGAAAAAATTTATTTGTGACTTTGTGGATTTAGAAAAAGCATAGTACAGGGTGCTGAGGGATGTGTGGTATTGCCTGAGGAAATTGGGATTTGCAGAGAAGTATGTTAGTCTGGTACAGGACATGTACGAGGACAGCGGGATATGTGCTGTAGGAGAGACAGATAACTTCAAGGTGGAGGTGGGAGTGCATCAAGGATCAGCTCTGACCTCCTTCTTGTTTGGTCTTGTGTGGATTGACTAACAGATGAGGTCAGGCAGGAATCCACGTGGACTATGATGTTTGAAGATGACATTGTGATCTGTGGTGAGAACAGGGAACAGGTGGAAGAGAACTTGGAGAGGTGGAGGTATGCACTTGAAAGAAGAGGAATGAAAGTCGGTCATAGTAAGACAGAGTACATGTGTGTGAATTAGAGGGAGGCTGGTGGAACAGTGAGGCTACAAGGAGCAGAGGTCACAAAGGTGCAGGACTTCAAGTACTTGGGGTTCACTGTCCAGGAAAACAGGGAGTGTGGTAAAGAAGTGAAGAAGAGAGTCCAGGCTGGATGGAGTGGATGGAGAAAAGTTCCAGGAGTGATTTGCAACAACAGGGTGTCAGCAAAGGTCAAAGGAAACGTTTTCAAGACAGTGGTGAGACCAGCTATATTGTATAATAATAATAATAATAATAATGTCATCACAATGTCAGCACTGTATGTTTCCATACAATGGCGAAATTAGTCTCTGCATTTAACCCATCCACCACCAGGTGGTGCAGTGGGCAGCTATTGAAAGCGCCCGGGGGGCATTTTGGGGATGAGGCGTGCTGCCCAGAGACGCCACGTGATGTGCAGTGACTGGGGATCGAACCTGGGACTTTTGGGTCCCAAGCCGGCTGCCCTGGTCTGGAGACAGAGACATTGACAAAAGACTGGAGACAGAACTGGAAGTGGCAGAAATGAAGATGCTGAGGTTCTCCTTAGGAGTTACAAGGATGGATAAGATTAGGAATGAGATCATCAGTGGTACAGCACAGGTTGAACAACTGGGAGATAAAGTTAGAGAGACCAGACTGAGATGGTTTGGACATGTCCAGAGGAGGGACCATGGGTATATTGGTAGAAGGATGTTAGAAACGCAGCTGCCAGGAAAAAGACAAAGAGGAGATATATGGATGCAGTTAGAGAGGACATGGAGGTAGTTGGAGTGAGGACAGAGGATGCAGAGGACAGAGTGAGATGGAGGAGGATGACTCTGTGTGTTGACCCCTGAAGAGGGAAATGCTGACAGAAGAAAAATGTCAGAAAGTAATGAATGTACATTTACAACTGATTAATTGTTTAAGTTAGCTTGATTCAAGATGGCTGTTCTGTTAATCAACCCCAGTAAACACAAAATTTATCTAGTTCAGTAACTTTTACAGATACTGAGCTAAAATTGATTTGGTAATAGATAAGAGTCATGCCATTACACACTGTGTGCTAACAGGCTGCGTGAGATCTTTGTTCAGAACTTTGGCATGCAAGGATGTGGTTGAAATGTGTTCCTTTAAAGAACAATAATTATTTTTAAAAATTTGGTTGGTACACTTTTATAAGTAAACAAAAAATAAGCATTTTGCGTATTAATCACAGCTGACGTCACCTTGTCAATACAGCCACATGTGCCCATTTTTCAGTCTGTATGCTAAGCAATGCTAACTGGATATATCCTCTAATTCATATGTGTCAAAGTCAAGGCCCGGGGGCCAAATGTGGTACTCGTTGACAGCTGGCCCCCAAGATGATATATGAAACATAAAATACTTCTATCTCTTTAATTTTTTTCAGTAATCTTTGATGAAGATGTCAAAAGCACAACAGAGAACATCAAATGAGACCAATCAAACTCTTGTTGAGGAACCTGTGACCAAGAAAATATGTTGGGTATCTGATTTGAGTTAATGTAGTTTCTGAAATTGGCCCTTAGTCTGAAAAAGGTTTTTATTTTGGCCCCCTTTTGTAAGTGAGTTGGACACCCCTGCTAATTGGCATCAATATTCATTTCCCAGCAAGAAAGATACTTGAAGAAAAAGGTGTTTCTAGTATTGACTATTTTTTGGAACTGCTTCAGGTTATCATTTATGTATTTTTCCAACTTGCTTAGTATAAGCTAGAAACTAATATTAACGTTGTATCCTTGTTTGATTAAAGCACATTTTTTGCAGATTGACTCCAAATGTGCAGTGAGTTTCTATGCAGTCAGATGACCTGCTCCCAAACTAAATGTAAAATTTCAGTGTTGCAACTATTCAGACACCAAATTGTAAGAAATTGAAAGATTTTGCTTGAAATCACATTGAATTGACAGGTTTGCAAATGTCGCCCAAATGTTGAACAAATATTGAACCAACTCTCAAGAGAATTTGGGCCAAATGTCGTTGGGATTGAACATAACTAACACACCACTGTTGTATGACATTCTCACAGAAAATTATACATTTCTGAGACTTGTGACTGCCACTTAACTGTTTTGAGAATGCTGTTTCACTGAGGATGATCAAAATGGACAAAGTGATCTTTTACTAAAAGTTTAACAGCAGGTCAAAAACATTTTATTTGAATTTTTAGGAACCAGTTGTCTGTAAATCAATAATAGTGAGCAATAATTTAAAGAAGCAAGCCGTTGTTTCTTTCTTTCAGCTTGCAGACCCACTAACTCCATCAGTTATATTCATATATCTTTGCTTTCACACTTAATGTGCTATGTCACTGACAATCACTGGATTTTTTTGTTTTGTTGTTGTTGCTCTCTAAACAAAAAGCAAAGCATAGGGATGCTATTTTTCTACATGGCAGGGTGTTATTTTCATTAATCTTAGGCTCACATCCTTACAATGAAAGAAAAGAAGAAGAAAAAAGAAAACCCAGACAGAGGGTGTGTGTTATATTCTTAGACAGGGCAGTCGAGTACTTTTCTCTATGGTTCCCTTTGGATTCAAGCTTAAGCTTTTTAGGAGACGTCTCACTGTGAAAAGTAACAGTAATGTCAGACCAAGGTCCTATTCAAAACTCAATTTAGGTGATTTGTGTCTCTCACAATGGAAACACATATATTTTATCCATGCTTGTTTGGCTAACCCCAGAGAAGAAACGTTTTTGTTAATAAGTGTGAGACAACGATTGAACAGTTTATGTAGGTCACATTGTATTAATCTGGCTAGCGATCCCCATAAGTGCTCTAAATCAAATATGGTACATTAAATTCCAGTTTGTTGCTCATTGGCTTAATAATGCTGTGTGGGTGCACTGGGAGCATTACATTTCAGACACTAAAACAGTGATCAGAGTGCTTTTAGACATGGACACTAAATTACCCCTCTGGATTAAAACATAACAAATGGGACGTGCTTGATATCAGTCAGCCAGTGCAGATCAAACACTTAATCAGTTGCAGTTTATTTCAGGCACTGGCCCTTTTCATCGCTCGACTTCAATGAGATCTGTGCACATTCCTGTAATTAATAAAGTAGATGATCCAATCAGTCAAGTAAAAGCTATCCATCTTAGTGGCTCAAACTGAAACAAACTAGATATTAGCATGTAAGATGGACCCAATGGGATAAATCTTTAATGGCAACATGAGACTTCAACTTGGACCACTGAGGCGACTGATGCTCTACTGGAAGAAGCTTCTGTGGGCAGGTGAAACTGTTTTAGTAGCGCATACTGACTGACTCAGGGTAACATTTCAAATTGTAATATATCTCCAACTCCGAGTGATCTGTTGCTGAGGTACAAGTGCAAACGCTGCTGGGCGACATGTTATTGGGCAGGGAGTATGAGGCCGTTTAGGTGTGAGCAGTCAGCCAGAACAATAAATCTCTTCCAGGCGGTACAGAAAACTCCAAAAAGGTACATGGATGAGTTGCTCTGTGATAGGTTTATATCAAAAGAAACCATTGCTTTTACGTGCAGCAAGCATGCTTATGCTGGTTGTGATCAGATCATCAGAGCTAGTCACCACGTGAGGTTTACTACAAGGAGGTAATTGTGGTTTCTGGGCTTATGGGGTTCAAAATTAACCCTGGTTGTCTTTGCTGCACATTTTATACGAGTGTGTTCAGAAGACAGAGACAGAACTGCAGAAGGGATGTGAATGTGTTTGTGCATGCATTAAACAGACAAGAGAAAGGTCCTTGAGGCAACCTGCAAATCTTTTATCACATCTTTAATTTATTGAAGCCCATAATAGAAGCTGCTGCAATTTCACTGAATAGACACAGCTGAATAGTAATCAGCCAGGGGATGAGGAGATATGCTTAACGGTCTCTTTCTTTTTTGTCAATCCTCCCTTGCCATTTGACAATCTCCTCCTTATTCAATCTATCCCCGGCTACTGTCATTGTCTGTTTTTAGAAAACACTACGGTAGTAGATGGAAGGTTTTAAATTGTGCACTTTGTGGGAGTGATAGTCACTTCCTTTCCTGTCGTCTTTTCTCTGCAGGATTTGTCTCCAAAGGCTGGAAACGTCATGGGTCTCTTGTTGTTCTCCAGACTGATACTGATCATCTTGGTTTTCATTCCACAATGGTCCCTGGGTTGTCCCTCTGGATGCCGCTGCTACAGCCTCACAGTGGAGTGTGGATCGCTTGGGATAAAAGAAATCCCACAGGGGGTCCCGTTCATCACAGAGGTCAGTCGGACAAACAACAATAAGTTAGAACCCTCTCTGCGAGTCCGCTGTAGCTGATCCAACTAACCTACATCTGCAATTTTCAGTTGACTTCCCCTTCATCCTTTCTTATTACCCTGAAATGATTGTGGTAAATCAATTTCCTGTGACCCCTCTTTGGAGTAAAGCCTAAAGGAGGGGTCGCGCTGTTGGCAATTATTCATCCTTCCCTCAAAATGACTCTCGCACACACCCACCGATCATCTGTTAAGAAGATGTTTAACATTACACCGTCTTCTCCTCCTGGGTTCAGGCCCTCCAACATTACCGCAGCTCATGAATATTGATGAAAAGCAAGTCCCGCATAAATTGTTCCATTAACCTCAATCAGCAAGCCTATCTCGTCGATCATACCTCACCGTGATTTGTGATGAAGGCACATTACCAATTAGGCTGGCACCCATGGACTGTGCATCAGAGCAACAAAGCACTTCTTGTAGCATTCAAATCAATCAAATGTTGCTAAATGCCTCAGCAAAGTTCAACAAAAGAACAACAAAACTGGAGACATTTTATTGCAAAAGTTGTTGGTCAAGTGATTTTGCAGCAGCTCATTATCACACTCTGCCTAAAGGTGAAATGTGGACAATAATGTTTTTGCTTCTCTATGTGTGTGTATGTGTGTGTTTGTGTGTGTGTTTAATATCTCATGAACCACTGAACCAATTTGTTATGAAAGTAATAATTGAATGTACATCTACCACGGATCAACTTTTAAGTTGTGTCAGTCAAATCCAAGATGGCCTCTACAGGTAACTGAACCTCATGAAAGACAAAAGTTGGTATAACTCAGCATATTCTGCAGATAATGGGCTAAAATTCAGTAGTGCCTGAAATTTATCCCCAACTCTTACTTTAAGCTTGAATAGATTGAACAAGATCATTATTCAAAACTTTAGCATTAAATGGTAAATGGACTGTACTTATACATCACCTATCGATCTTGTCAAGACGTTCAAAGCACTTTACACTACAATCTGAGTATTATTGAGTATTAGTCGTGGCGAATGGTCATGGCAAGATGGTGCCAGTGTGTTTGGCGAGTCGTTTACCGCTCTTTATTTTTCTGTTTTTATTGTTGTTTCTGTGCTGTTTTTCTGATGTGAACTCTCTACTGGTGTATGATCGCCAAACCCTTTTGGGGCTTCGTCTGCCAACTGCAAAAGTTTTATATTGCTGTCATGAAAAGCACGGTTCTTTGCCACCACTGTTGGCCAAAGTTCCATCTTACCTGTGTCGGGCACCATACCCCCCTCTTCGGAGAAGGCGTCACTGGCGTCGAGGTAAACGCAGCGGGCTCTTGGTAAGGCTGAGGACTGGTTTGGCAAAATCGCTGGGAATCTTCCTCTCCCAGCTTGGATCAGTCCCTGGACTGTATGCTTCTCGCACTCCTTGGACCCTGTTGATTCCTGGCTGGTACCTGTTATCGACTCAGATCAACGCTTCTTTCCTCCATGTCTCACTCCTCCACATCTGCGCTGGCGAGGTGCTAACCTCGGAAATCTGCGACACCTTGCATGGATTACTCCTTCTTCTGCTTCACCGGACCCAGTTCCCATCAAGATAGGTCTGGTAAATGCAAGAACTGTTGCAAACAAAACTTATCCTGAAGGATTTTTATTCGTCCCAGGGTTTGGACTTTCTCTGCGTGACTGAGACTTGGATTTATCTGGGTGAGTCCAGTGTTTTTTCAGAACTATTACCCCAAGGTTGCTCATATTTTAATATCCCAAGGTCCTTGGGTCGTGGAGGATTATTTAGTATTGGCGATTATTTATAAATCAAGTTTTGACTGTAAGCAGCTGTCCCTCCCGACTGCGTTTTCTACCTTTGAACTGAGCATGTTTGAGTTGGGCTGCTCTCCTCCGCTTCTGTGCGCCATCATCTACCGGCCTCCTAAGTATAATAAGGACTTCATACGGGACTTTTCTGATTTCTTGGGTGATTTTACGTCCAAATATGAGTAAATTTTAATTATTGGAGATTTTAATATTCACATGTGTTGCACTGGAAAGCCGCTGGTGAAGAATTTCTTAGATGTAGTGGATGCTTATGGCCTCACTCAGTCAGTGAAGGGCCCAACCCATGAACGTACACACACCCTGGACCTTGTTTTATCTTATGGTTGATCTATTTTTAACTTGGAAATTGGTGATGCATTGTTTTCAGACCACATGCCTGTTTTATTTGATTTTATTTCTTGTTTCTAAACCTGTTACGTCCTGTGCTCCTGCTTGACGCTGCCGTGTTTTTAACTCATCCTCTGCTGCCCATTTTTCCACTGTCTTTAATCGTTTAGTCACAGCTCTCTGTGTCTCTCAGCACTGAGGAGCTTTCCTTATATTTTGATTCTTTATGCAATACTGTATTGAATGATGTGGCCCCGATTAAAACCAGGCGATCAAAGCCAAGATCAGACCCATGGTTGAGTGACCATACCCGTGCCATTAGACAGGAATGCAGGAGAAATGAACGCAAGTGGAGAAATGATATACTCCAAGTCTCTTTTGGTATACTGAGAGAGAGTTGGCGTTGCTATCAACGAGCTGTGAAAACAGCCAGAGTAAAATATTTCTCTGATATTATTGCTGCTAACTCTCACAACCACCGTGTTCTTTATAATACAATCAACACTGTCCTCAATGCACATGAACCGGTCCCTCTTGAAGCATCCAGAGAACTTTGTGATAAGTTTCTTCATTTTTTTCTTGGACAAGGTTATTAACAGTAGGGCTTGTATTGCTTTTCCATACCCTGATCCTTCCATCTCAGTCCCCTGTCCTGCTGTTTTTGATCATTTGGAGCCTATTTCCCTCTCCTATCTAGAGAAACTTGTCACCAGTATGAAATCATTGGGTTCTCCCCTTGATGTTGTTCCTCCATATTTTCTTAAGGAGGTATATTCTACAGTTGGCTCCTTTATCTTAAAAGTTATCAACAGCAGTTTGATGTCTAGTGTGGTACCAAGCAATTTCAGACATTGGTGCAGCCATTGTTGAAAAAACCTGGCCTTGATCCATCCTCTTTGTCAAACTTTAGGCCAATCTCCAAGTTACCCTTTATATCTGAAATTTTGGAAAAAGTTGTTTACACACAGCTGAAGGCATTTTTGGATGAATTTAAAATTTTGGAGGTTTTCCAGTCTGGTTTTAAAATGTACCACAGCACTGAATCTGCTCTTTTAATGGTTTTTAATGACATATTTTTAGCACTGGATTCTGGAAACTGTGTTTTACTTGTCCTTTTAGATTTAGCAGCTGCTTTCGACACAGTTGACCATGACATTCTCATCTCCAGACTGGGGCAGTGGGTGGGCATCACTGGCTCAGCTCTGCAGTGGTTTAGGTCCTACCTTTCTGATAGAAGTTTCAGTGTGATGATGGATAAATTTACCTCTGCTTCTGCTGCCCTCCTCTGGGGGGTACCCCATGGCTCTATTCTTGGTCCTCTCTTGTTTTCTCTTTATCTTCTGACACTGGGTTCTATTTTCAGAAAGCATGGTGTGCAGTTTCATTTATATGCAGATGACTGTCAAGTCTACTTCCCTTTGAAACAACATGGCTCCACTCAGTCTCTCCTGGACTGTCTTGATGACATTAGAGGATGGACGGCACTTAATTTCCTCCATTTTAATGAAAAAAAGACTGAGGTTATGGTCTTTAAGTCCTGTGGCCCTAGCAGTTTCTCCACCTTGGATTTTTTCTCTTTGGCCCCATATGAAAAATTCATTGTGACAAATTTAGGAGTGAAAATGGACCCCTGCCTGAAACTTGACTGCCATGTCAACAACGTGGTTAAGTCCTCTTTCTTTCAGTTGAGGCGCCTGTCAAAAATCAAGCCCCTGCTTTCTAGACACCACTTACAGACAGTAATCCACGCTTTTATTACTTCATACCTGGATTATTGTAACTCTCTTTTGATAGATGTCCCTTCACTGGCTTCCTGTCCAGTTTTGAATTAATTTTAAAGTTCTATTGTTTGTTTTTAAGTGTTTGAACGGTTTTAGTCCCCCTTATTTGTCTGAACTGCTTCACTTTTACATACCATCACGTGCTCTTAGATCCTCTGACCAGATGCTTTTAGCAGTCCCGAAAACCTTTTATAAATCCAGAGAAGACAGAGCCTTTTCAGCTCTGGCTCCTAAACTGTGGAATGAGCTGCCACTGGAGATCAGGCAGGCCCTGTCACTTTCTGTTTTTAAAACTCATTTAAAACCACATGTTTTTTCATTGGCTTTTAACCTAGAGTGAGACAGCATCTGTGTCTTAATGTTGTATTCTTTTACCTAGGATGTTCTGATTATTTTTTTAATATATATTTAGGTGTTTTTATTGTTTTACTGTTTTTTATTTGTTTATAATTTTGTACAGCACTTCGGAAGGCTGCTTGTTGTATTTAGAGTGCTTTAGAAATAAATTGGTATGGTATGGTATTGTAATCTGTGCCCTCATTTACCCGTTCATACAACTCTACTGTCTTCTATCTACACTCTACTAGCATTACTAAGAATGATTCTTTGTAGAGATCTACAAAGACTAATCAGTGCTTTGGATCACATTCATACACTGATGGGACACACATCGGAAACAATGAGAGGTTCAGTGTCTTGCCCAGAGACACTTCAGCATGTGACTGCTGGTGGAATCAAACCCCCAACTCTGCCATTGGAGGATGATTGCTCTAACCACTCAGCTGCAGCTGCTCATTATCTGCTGGAGTCAACGTCATCTGTGTATTAGCAAAAAATTATATAAACCACCCGATGGATTTTATTGAAACTCACAGAAATTATTCATTAGATGAACATCTATAGTTAATACTACCTTTTGTAGCTGCCCCATTCAAGATGGCCACTACAGACAACTGACCTTAGAAAACACAGAAAAATGAGTATAACTCAGTCAGTTTGAAATTTGGCAGGCATTGATCAAGGAATGCAGTGTGGTTGTACCTGTGAGTCATTCCAAAAATTTACTTTAAGTGCAACATCTTGTGCAAATATCTTGAAAATTTTGCATTAACTGTCCGTTAGCAAAATAAATCATGAACCACAGGGCAGATTTTAATGAAATGTTCCTACAATATTTATTCGATGTACATCTACAACTGATTACTTTTGAGATTAAATTCATTTCAAGATGGCCACCACAACAACTAATCAACTTTAGCTAACACAAAATTTGCTATAACTCTTTAAATTGTACAGATATTAGGCAAAAGCAAAAATTGTATGTAGAAGTAGCTGAAAGTCTTTTACAGCACTTAGTTCAAAGACTCCCAGATTGCAAAATCCCCTATGAAATCCATGGGTGCCTATGATATAATATAAAATATTTCTTTCAATGTTTGACAAAATAACTATAACTCAACTGTTTCTCAACATAAGTTTTCCTCAATTTATAACTCTGGCAGCAGGTTTTTAGTTGCTTTTTGAATTGCTTACATTTATGACATTTATTTCCCTGCAACAACAAACAAATAAGTAACATTCACTTCTTTTAGAAAAATAATATAACATTTTATCTTCCTTTGATCAAACTGCTCATTTTATTTACCCTGTCTTCCACAAAGACAATCTTCCTCCAGGACAACATCATAATGCAGATCCGTCTTCAGGACCTGAGTCGCCTGAGAAGCCTCCATTACTTGTATCTCCAGAACAACAGCATCTCAGCCTTGGAGCCTGGGGCCTTCCTTGACCAGGGCCATCTACTGGAACTGGCCCTCAATGGTAACCTCATCCACCTGGTCACCCCTGACATGTTTCGAGGTCTGGAGCACCTTCGTATCCTCTACCTAGCTGGCAACCAGATCACTCGCATCCAGGACCACACCTTCAGGGGACTGCAGGTTCGGTTGTGTGAGCTGGCAAAACATGATGCAAATTCTTGATGGACATTTTGATTTTAGAACACTAACAACTAAATGTAAAATGTCTTTATATAGATAAAGCAGAATGACACCTACAAATAAACAGTAAAGTCACGTTTTGACAGCATGTCTTTCTGGTCCTTATTAGACAGTGACAAAGCGTGGAACAAATTATCCAGCTGTCTGCATTTAACAGTTCTATGTCTCCTTGAATTTGCATTTGTTAGCCTTTTTTTCTTATCTTCCTCTCCTTTGTGTCTTTCTTCCATCTGCAGCGACTGCAGGAGCTTCACCTGCAGGAGAACAGCATTGAGATGCTTGCAGAGCATGCCTTGTCTGGCTTGTCGTCTCTGGCCCTGTTGGACCTCAGCAGGAATCACCTTCGCACCCTTGGAGCCTCGTTCCTCAAACCACTTGTCAGCCTGCAGGTGCTCCGTATCACAGGTACAGAATTGGTAGATCATACTTTTTAAAAATAATACGGTTATCAGAATTGACGCCATGTTAATATTGCACTAAAGTACTGCCATTTGTCCCTGTGGGTAAATTAATCCTAATGGACTGACTGGTGTTGAAAAAAATTAAGTCGTTCTATATTTTACACATCAAATAATTTTCCCAATTAAAGACCTGCTCTGTAATCAGGGATGCCACTTTTAAAAGTTTAAATATCCAGTTAAAGAGGCTTCTTTAATGGAAGTGTGCTCCAATTTGCTTTATAAACTCTTCCTTCCTCACATTTTTAAGTCAGACTAACTATTTCTGTTACTTTCTCCAACACACAACCGAACATTCACACACACTTCTTACAGTAACTGGCTATTAGTGCACAAGAGTCTGAGATAAAATCTCTCTTTGTTTCTTTTAGGGCTTGATCTTTCTTTCTCTATTCATGTGGCAGCTGTCATTTCATTGTGCCTGAGTGTTTGGTTTTCACAAGGATCTTTTTCATTTCCAACAAACATGAGGTCAAATATACTCTTGGGTCATAATGCCCTGCAATGGACTCAACAAAGTTTAGTCATAGTTTAAGTACCATTTGTAAGATGATTATAAGATGACGTTAACCAATGATGAATGTTTTGGAATGTTTATAGAAATTTTTTTTCATTGTGGCTTAAATAAAACCGTTTAAAAAAGCCATGTTTTATGGTTTAGTGCAAGCATAACCATTGGGTCCTTCTCCTCATTTTAAACGAAAAATAATCTAACAAAAAAAAACTAATAACACTTTAAAGATATTAGTGTTTTAACAAGCTATTAAAATATTTTTTTCCTGGATTCATCAAATTGACGTACTGTTTGTTAGTGATTAAAAAAATAAAAATAAAGCACCATTAATCCATTCCCAACCATAAATAGCAAGTTGTTTTTTTTAGAAAACTATTCAAATTGGCAGTGCTTAAGTTAAGCCATATCACTTACTGACTTACAAGCTTTAAAAACAATCTTGGTGATCTTGTTAGTGCTGGTGGGAAGACTCTATGCTTCTACATCTTGAATTATCTTTAAAAGGTATTCAGTTTTAGATGTATGAACTACTTATTTTCTGAAAAAATAATTTGAAACTGTCCCGTGGTTCATGGGATATTTAGCTAACAGACAGTCTGATAATTAGAAAAAATATGAATAAAGATTATTTGTAATTTGTTAGCACTTGCAGTTTATATTAAGACTGACCACACCAGTTCTAAGCTCAGTGGTTATAAAATTGACCGAGTTATAGCCATTTCTGTGTTTTCCAAGTCTAGTTAGCTGTGGCAGCCATCTTGAATAAAGCAGACTTCAAAAGGTAATTTGTAATAGATATACATAAAATAATTACTTTACTAGAGTTTTATTATAATCCATCCAGCAATTCATGAGATATTTTGCTAATAGACAGACAACTAATGAACACACAGACATAAGCAATTACTTGATCACCTGCTTTTCATGCATTTTGTGTGAAAATTAATTAGAAATGAATTCCCATTGAAGGCCCATGGGGTATACAGTATAAGAAGGCTTTGCTTCTGTAATCTTGTTACTCTTGGTATAATACATGTTCACCATCTGCTCCTGTTTGTTTGTTTTAGAGAACCTGTGGCGCTGCGATTGCGCTCTTGGTTGGCTGAGAACCTGGATCAGTGAAGATGGACAGCGTCTACTGAGTTCGTCAGAGCAACGTCGGCTGATGTGTGCTGAGCCCCCCCGTCTTTCCCACCTCAGCCTGGTAGAAGTGGCCCCCAACAGTCTGGTGTGCATCCCACCTGTGGTGCAGCTCGAACCCAGTCATCTAACTGTCCGACTTGGAGAAAGCCTCAGAGTCTCATGCCAGGCCTCAGGATACCCTCAGCCTCAGGTGACATGGAGAAAATCGTCCCATGGGAAGCCCCAGTTATCACCTCGAGGTCTGTTCCAAGAGCTGGGCCCCAATGGGGAGCTGTTCAGGCCTCCAGCTGGGGGAGTGGTGACAGCTCTGCCCAGCAGTAGAGAGATCAAGGTGGGAGGTGCAGGAGGAATCCACGGGCTTGTGCGTGGGACTGAGGAAGGAGGTGAGAGGGACAGCTTTGATCCAGACATGGGCAGTGGCATGCTGTTCCTCAGTAATGTGAGTGTAGCACATGCTGGGCGCTACGAATGTGAAGCCTGGAACCCAGGTGGTATGGCTAGGGTGACATTTCACTTGGCTGTCAACATGTCCTCTTCCTCATATTCATCCCATTTCTGGTCTCGGTTAAACACACACTCTTACGTTTCTTCTTCGTCCAATTCCCTCTATCAGCCAGAAGTCCTAGATGTTAGCCAGGAGCCATTGTTTGAGCAGGAGAGCATGGACTTTAATGCCCTGGGTCCTGCCACGCAGACTGCCATTGCTATTGGAATTTCATTGTTGGCACTCACTGCTGTTCTTCTCTTGATAATGATCTACAATCGTCACCAGCAGTACCAAAAAGAGGACAGTGGTTCCTACTGTACCAGCAAGGAAGAGAGCATTCTCTATGTAAAAGACTACTCTGATGGACCCACCACCTTTGCTCAGCTCGAAGAGTACCGTGATGACCACGGCCATGAGATGTATGTACTCAACAGAGCCAAACCAGTTGTAGGCTCAAATTCATCCAGGTGTACCATGATAAGTGGATTTGTCCAACAGAAGGGCATGAAGGAAGCTCTTCTGGAGCATGAAATGGTCCAGACACTGACAAGATCAGGAGGAATGGGGATTTGCAGGAACCCAACAGAAGGTGGAGAGGGGCCCCTAACAACAGATCCAGAGGAGCTCTTCCTGAGTCAGAATCTCCTGTTTGGATCACAAGTTGCCTACGAGATCCACTGCTGAAGTATCTTTACTGTTGCTGTCATGTGAAATAAAAGGTTGAAGGATTTTTATCAAGATCCTGGAAATACTCTTGCTGCAATGATTTCATGCATCATATTATCTGGCTTTCAACAGAGGAGGGTAAGTCATGTAGTAAGGGGGGTATGCAGCCTTCCAAATATCCTATTTTAACTGACTGGATGATATTAAAATGGGTCAGGGGGATGGACAGTGGTAATTATGGAGAAAAGAACAAATGAACCATACTTTTCAGTCTCCAAATAAACCCTTTAAAGAAAATCACAAGTGGCTGACCTCACTAGATACAAAAGTTCAAATGAACGCTTGCAAAGGAGGCTCACAAAACTGTGCAGTGTGCAGTTGTAACATATGTGACAAGTTAATCCATTTTTCTACCAATGTATTTCTTTAAGTTTTATTTTATGTATGGTTTGTGTCTTCTGTAAATGAAATGCAGTTAATTTTCTACATGAAGTAGAGTTAGGGCAATCGTTTTACTGAAACTGTATCATTTGCATATGTGTGAGTGGGTGGTTTGAGGTGATTTAAAAGGGTCATTCTGGATGTGACATGTTTTTGATGTTGAGTAGAACTGAAATGTTTCATTTTTCATAATGTGTCAGGTGCGTATGTTAATTCCACTGAACAAGGAATTAGTATGTTTAGAGTTGCCAATTTGGAAAGGCTCTCAAAGTCCATTCATTTTTGAAGTTATGTTCTGTCAAATGTCAATAGCTTGCCTCATCAGGTAGGCTAGTCAGTGAAAAATTTACTTAGCCACTAGTGAAATGATACCTTTAGCAGCATCACAACGCCAACATTTATATTCTAGCGACTCACACGTGCTAGCATTAAGAACACAATGGAGTCTCACTCATATAACATCACACTTTGTGTTTGGTACACACTTTCTATGTTCCCCTACAGGAAGTGCTTTTCCCCTTGTACAGACTGGAAACAATGTCTGACTCATGGTGTCAGTTTACAGCCAAAATCAGAGACCTTAACATAGATGTCAAACCAAACCTGAACAGGACATCAACCAGAACAACCCATTTCTACACTCATAAACATTGTAACACTCGTAAACATTGCACACACAATTGCCACAAGGTTACCCAGCATCATTTGCAGCTCACACAGTCTCTCTGGGTTGCTACAATATCAATGCTCAGCATATTGTGTAGTAACATGACCTTGTACTGTTGAGGAAACAGGAACAAACTGTGTAATGCTAAAATGTAGTGGTTTAATATTAATTAATATAACATTATTTGATGACATTTTTGAAAAGGATCAGTTTAATAGACCTAAAAGATGGTATAAAACAGCCTCGCCTGATGTTAGTTCTGTGACTGATGTCACAGCTGTAAAGGTATTTACTATTGATGAGTATTAGGCAGAACACTAATACTAAATGATCAGATTATTCTTATATTGCAAGACACAACAGCTTGGGTAAAACACAGCAACAAAACCAAAGAGAGCTTCATTTTGTAAAATACAGCTAAAGTAACAACATACATTTGATAATATTTAGCAATTCATAAACACGACACTCAAAAACAGGCACAAAAAATAAGAAATACACCAACGTTTCGCTAGTCAAAAACATAACCAAAGATGTGACATTTAGAAGGAAACATCTTGTTAAATGTTTTTATTTTTATTACGTTTTTTGTTTTTTTCAGGTGCTGTGGGTGGGGTTGGGGCGGAATGTAGTAAAATGTAGGAATTTTTCTTGTTGCTCTTTTGTTTCTTGTGTTTTGTTCAGTGTTGTGCCATGCTTCAGAGCCATCGTTAAAAAAAAAAATTATATTGAAAAAAAAATCTGCTAACTCTAAACTGTACCAGCTATTCAAATGTGAATATTGTACATTTTGTTTTCAGTTTGTATACAATAAAATGTATTTTAAGAGTCTGTTTTGCTCTTCTTTCAAGACATAGCTCAAGCGATTATGTTTCTGGTTTACGTCCTCGACTTGGTCCAATTACACTCTCTTCTTTACCTTCTCCTTAACATATGACACATAGCACGTCTAAGGGGAAAAAACAGGTTTTCATACAAAGAATGAAGCTTTTAGATATTATATAGTGCAGTGAGAGAGGTCCACGGAGTTCAGACTTTTTCTTCTTCTGCTTTGCAGCCGAGTACTAATCAGGTGTGTTTTTAGAACAACCTGTGAAAAATATAAGGGGGGTGGGGGGGCAGAATTTTAAGAGTGTGCCTTGAAAAGTCAAGTATTCAATACCTACACAAAGATTGAGTGCTGCATTGATTCCGAGTTTAAAGCATGTCAATATGGAGGAGACAAAGAAGTGGCCTAATTTTAGCAATATGTTCTGAACTATTGCTTTGTATAATTTAATAAAACATTTTTTATTCCTTGTAAAGTGTCTCTGTGACAGATTTTTGTTCAAGGTGCTCTGCTTTTAAGAGAGAGTCAGCACCAGCCACAAAAAGAGCATTAGATAATTACATTTGGTTGGTGTTTCCAATTGAATAGAAAAAGACAAAATTATTTATATTAATAATTTTTTAAATTTTTATTTTTTTATTTTCTTTTTTTGTTGTTGTCGCAGTTGGTTTAGAATGAGTTTGCTCTTACTTGCTGTCAGCAGAGTTAAAGAATCCAAAAGGGAGTTAGCAAAGGGTAGTAGGATAGTTAGTATAGTCACCTCAGAGCACAACGATATCAAGTTCAATTGTTTTCCTAAATTATTATTATTCTGTTCAAAGCATTTTTGTGTAAAGTTAGCATGATTTCTCTCTACATGCACAAGTTTTCACTCAGTCCTTTTGTTATTTCCTTACAGTCCAAAAATGTGTTTCATTGATTATTCTAAATTGACTAGATTTGAGCATGCATCATATTGTCTGTTTTACCTAATATATTAAAGTTAGGAGTCATCAGGACTCTGTATCACAGAGCAGACAGCATCCCCACTAACTCAGGAGCCAGGCAGAAGGAGAAATCCCACACAAGACAGGCTCTAGAGCAGGGGTGTCAAATCCACTTACAAAAGGGGGTCAAAATTGAAACCTTTTTCAAACTAAGGGCTGGTTTAAGAGTCTACATTAAGTCAAGTTAGATACCCAACATGTTTTCTTGGTTGCAGGTTCCTTAGCAAGAGTTTGATTGGTCTCATTTGACATTTTCTGTTGCAGTTTTGACATCATAATCAAAGATTACTGAAAAGAATTAAAGTGATAAAAGTATTTTACATTTAAAATAACATCTTGGGGGCTAGATAAGATGTTAAGGAGGGCCACATTTGACCCCGGGGCCTTGAGTTTGACACATATGCTCTAGAGCAATGTGGATATCCTAACTGGGCCATCCTGAAAACAAAAAAGAAACCAAAACAGGACTCCAGTCAGCCATCAGGTGAAAAAGAGGAACCCAGACCCAGACCAGTGGTCATTCCATATGTTGAGGGAGTACCAGAGAAACTGAGATGTTTATTTTCTAAACATAACGTCCCAGTGGCTTTTAAACCCCAAAATACATTACGGCAAAGACTGGTTCATCCCAAAGATCCAGTCCCCCGGCACAAACAGAGTAATGTTGTGTATGCTGTTCAGTGTCAGGAGGGTGATCAGTCTTACATCGGGGAAACTAAACAGCCACTGGCCAAAAGGATGGACCAGCACAGAAGATCAACATCATCAGGCCAGGACTCTGCGGTCTACACTCATCTCCAGGCCAGCGGTCACTCTTTCAGGGATGAAGATGTTCACACCCTGGACAGAGAGGAACGATGGTTTGAGAGATGAGTAAAGGAGGCCATCTTTGTGAAAAGAAATCGTCCATCATTTAACATGGGTGGAGGCCTCCATGTCCGCTTGTCACCCTCTTACAATGCTGTTATTGCTAGTATCACTCGGTCCTCCATGTATAGCAAGCGGCCATCAGGGCACTATTGATCGGTCTTTAGGCTGATGCTCCTCCTTTATCATGTGAACAGCTAGTTTGGGCTCTCACCAGCAAACTGGTTTATCCACTATGCGAAGGTGCTATTTATGACTGAGTTTGTTGCAGCTCCTCAGACTGACAAAGTCTTCTGGATAAAAGACAAAATGTTTAATTTTTTTTAAAATCCATCCAGAGGACCTGACTTAAACTTTGTTAGATTTTTCTACCTGGATTATTGAGCATGCATCAGGTTATCTGATTTAGATGAAAGGATCACTATTTAGATTTATTTATTTATTATCTATTTATTTATTTATTTATTATTATTACTCTTATTATTATTTAATTATTATAACTCTTATTATTATTTATTTATTTATTATTATCTATTTATTTATCTATTAAGACATCTAAGCTAACATAAACACTGAGATACATGTAAGAAGAAGGCTTGATCATCCCAAGTCCATTACAGGACCTCTTTAGCTCAGATGACGGAGCATGCATTTGTTCTACAAAGCGTATGAGTTTCTTTTGGACTTGTTACAATATGATTCTACAGCTGTGTTCTTTACATGCAGCCACAGCCATGTTACAGAGGTTGTCATGGGCACAATGGGTTTGATACATGATGTAAGCAAGGAGAATAATTCTGCTGCCAGAGGCTGAATCTTTCTTTCTGTGTAAATAACAGTGAGTGAACAAAAAGACAAAATCAGTTACGAGAATGTTCAATAGTACCACAGTTACAATACATTTGAAAAAGCTGTGTTGTTGTTTGTGAAAATACTTCTTGTTTTGAGCAAATCCTCCAATGCTGACAGCATGCTGAAAGCACTATATTGTAAGCACATTTTGTGATCATACCAAATCAGACTCCAGCTATTTTCAAGCATGTGTTGTTGATAAGTCAGAGTCAGAGTTTCTTTATCGTCATTCGCACCTCATGTGGTACATGTGGTGGAGTGAAATTATGTACACGGGGTCCCAGTTACATCCAACAATAAAATGTATAAGAAAAACAGTAATAACATCTAAGATATGAACCAAGAAAAACATCAACCAAGTATACACCAAGCACTCATAACACAAAACATTGAACAACTGATAAGAAACCTATTACAAAACAAACTATCAAACATAAAATGTAGAATAGACAGAAAAAATACAAAAATCACACTATTGACAACAGTAATATGT